CTGCCCACCCACCCCTGCCACCTCCTGTATTTACCCACAGATAGTGCCTGGATGCTGTGCTTGGGCTGGGGGCAGAATATCCCCCAATGACTCTGAAACAAAAAACAGGCTCCTCCACTGTCCATTCCAGATCTCACTGACTTGGACCTGTGCACACAGGTCAAGGAAAACCACAAACCACTGAGTCATTCTCTATCCCTAGACTTTCTCTTCTATCCTCAGAGAGACAATGAACATGGCTTCTACACAGTTATGATGAGAGACAACTCCTCCTGCATCAAAAGAAACCACTAGAAGGACCACTGTCATCCCAATACCCATGCCCTAGGGGTCTTTGTTCTTCAGTCAACCTCAAAGAGATGCCTAAGCAAGGAAAACATACTTTTCTCTCCCTCTCCTTCCCCATCTGAAGGGATATGCATCTGTCATGGACCAAAGGAAGGCAAACAGATATTTTTAAAATCCTTTCCAGTGAGAGAAATTCACTCCACTTAGTACAATTAACTGAGTGTTTGGAACAGCGTTCCTACTGGAACATTAACTCCCATGAGAGAAGTCCGCCTATCTTCAAGGTCTGTATCTAATTACATAAACCTGAGGGGCAGAAGACAGGCATTCCACAGCAGAACCAAGTAGAAAATGTCAGACCCGAGGCGTTCTACCCAGATCCACAAATAATCGGCCAAGTAGGATTCTCCCCTCACACTACCACATGCCTCACATGGAACCAGCCAGAAGGGCAATTATGAAATAGTAATACATGAAAACCCACAACAGGTTTATCACAGAGTGATATATGTAATAGGATATTCCCAGTAACACTTGGTCACTGTCAACAACTTTTGCCCAAAAAGACCAATTCGTATGACTTCAGGGAGCCCCCCAACCCAGGAGCTGTCCCTCCCCCTGGCTCTGTCTCACGGACAGACCCAGAAGGATTCATCTCAAAGTGATTGAAGGTTCTTAGATGAAAGACACTGCGGACAACTATGTACATGGTCCCTCCTGTTATCCTCCAGGAGGCAGAATAAGAACTATGTTGGAGAGAAGAAAGATCAGTAAGGAAAGACCAGGATCCTAAAACCATGGGTGAGGAACCCCATGCATTCATTTTCAGTTTCCCTATTTGCCACTTGGGTCCCTGATGCTGATGATACCATAGTGGCTTCTCTCCTGAGTCTGTTGGATTTACTAAGTCAATTTTCCAGAAGGTAGAAAAGCCCTTTAGCAGTGGCAACCAAACTGCCAGAGCTCTGATGGAGAACTGCTGGCAGACCCCACTCTGCAACCACTCACACTCCTGCCCCTTCAGGATCTGTATGAATGGTAATGTTAGCTAGGTAGCGAGATATTAAAAAAGAAAGGGAGCAAAGGGAGTTAGACATTATTAAGCATAATCAACTAGGGAAAATAAGGCGGTTTAACCAGAAAGCTACAGCTTCACACACTCCAGGGGACAGCAGCAATGCCCCACCAAGGGGATTAATATCCCTCCCTTTCCCCATGCAGGAAGCAGCCCTCCCTCCGGTACAGGTTGTCAGGAGAGCAGGGGGAGGTAAGCACATGTGCAGTAGAAGTCAAGATGGCACAGGGGGAGGTGCTTCTATGAGGCATGAGCAATAGGAGTGAAGATGATGACCACAGAGGCCTGTCAGTCTAGCCTGGGAAAGTAATAGATTGTTTAGGAAGTGGACCCATCAGAAGCCTGCGAAAGCTTGGGAAGTTGATTGGTTAGTTTGAAAAGAGTGCCTGTTCCTTCTGAAGCTCAAGATAATATAATCGCAGCTAACAAAGCCCTTCTCCCACCCCCCCCCCTCAGTAATACACACTAGTCCTGGTTTGTTTGCATGTTCTCTCTGTAGGAACCATGCGGATCTAGCAGCCACCTGGGGCCCATGGCTGACCACAAGGGCTCCAACGAACTAAGCTCTCACATGACACAGAAACTCTGGACAGTGGTCTTTGTTTTGGCCTTGATGAAGACAAGATTTCTATGGTGGGATAGACAGAGATGAGACACTGGAAACCAAGGGGCAGCCAGCCTTCTATTTCCACCTGAATAAATCTTACAATAAAACAGTCTCCCATAAGAGGGTCCGTGGAACGCTTTCCTCATGATCCTGTGAAAGGACACAACTTCCGCCAGCAGCAGTAACAGACTATGGCAAATAGAGGAGGTCCTGTGCTTAGCTGCAGCTATCAGGAGCCCATAAGGGAAAAGTACTTCCTTGTTCTGTGGATCATTACCTTCCTGAGTGGGAAGTGAGGTTTCTGTGTGAATCTAACCCCTTGACCATGACATAATGAGAGGGGACTAGAAGTCGCCATCAGATCCAGTGCTGGTGGCTGCTGCAGGAAGCTGAGGTCAAGAGAAAACAGCACCTGAATCAAGAGTTCTCTACCTTTGTCCCTGACTTCAGGAAAGATGGACAATCTGCAACCCCATGATGAGGGCAGGACAAAGGGGCATAGATCCATGAAGGGCTTCGTGAGCTAAGCATGTGGGGGCTTGAAAATGAGGCACCTGTGAAAGGGCACAGGGAAGGCCCCAGAGGGCCAAGGGTGCCCCTTATGACTCCGGGAGTCTCCATCAATGGGTACTAAGTAAAGTCACAGAGCCAAAGTTATATAGTCCCATCATCTCAGACTGAAAGTCAGCCTGCAATTCCACTTTTGGATATAACCCAACAAAACTGAAAGCAAAGACTCAAACAGATATTTATATACTTATGTTCCTATTGGCATTATTAACCATAACCAAAAGATGGAAACAACCCAAATATCCATTAATGAATAAAAGGATAAATACATGTGCTTTCATGGAATATTCAGCCATAAAAAGGAACGGAATTCTGACACAGGTTACAACATGAATGAAACCTGAAGACCTTATATCAAAAGGACAAATAGTGTATAATCCTATATATATGAGGTACCTAAGGTACTCAAATTCATAGACAGAAAGTAGAATGGTGGCTGCCAGAGGCTGGGGAAGGGAGAAAGGGGAGTTATTGTTCGACGGGTACAGAGTCTCTGATAAGATAAAAAAAGTTTTAGAGGAGGATGGTGCCGATAGTTACATAACAATGTGAATGTACTCAATGCCACTAAACTGTACACTCAAAAATAGTTAAAATGGTACATTTTATGTTATTTATACATATATTAACACAATAAAAAATAAAAGTAAATTAAAAGTGTGTTGGTTCTACTAAATGACATTAGCTGGGATAGTCACATTGGAAAAATCTAATAAACCCTTTTACTCATTACCTCCCTAAAGGAGAAAGAAAGTCTATGAATAATTGTAGGGTAACAGATGTTGTGTAACACTAGATATTTACAAAGGGCTTTGGCACAAATCAATTAATTTAATTCAACAACCTCAAGAAGTGTACAGGAAGTTGCCCTCACCACCATTACACAGAAGACACTGAAGCTCAATCACACAGGTAGTAATGGACAGAAAAGAATATTTAGGCCCTTGCCTGTGTGTCTAGTGGTTAGAGCATCAGCCTGTATACTGGAGGGTGACCAGTTTGATTCCCGGTCAAGGGCACATACCTGGGTTGCAGGTCCAATCCCCACCCCTGGTCAGGGCAGGTGTGGGAGGCAACCAATGGATGTTTCTCTGTCTCCTCTCTCTCTCCTCTCTCTCTGTCTCTCCCTCCCTCCCTCCCCCTTCCACTCTCTCTAAAAAGCAATG